ACCAGTTTATGCTAGAAAATTTGGAGGACAGTTGTCTGGCAGACTGACTGGAAGAGATACATATTTGTTATTATTCCCAAGAAAGGTGACCCAACTGAGTGTGGAAATTATTGAGCAACATCATGAATATCACATGCAAACAAAATATTGCTGAAGACCATAAAAAAGTGGCTAGAACAATACATCAATCACAAACTGCCAGAGGTTCAAGCTAGGTTTAGAAGAGGCTGTGATAGCAGGGATGTTACTGCTGATGTGAGTTGGATACTGGTTAAAAGTAGAGGAATACCAAAAGAATGCCTGTTTATTTCTTATTGATGATGCAAAAGCATTTGACTCTGGATCACAGCAAATTGCTTTGGGTAAGTCCACTGTCAGGGACCTTTCCAAAATACTGAAGAGCAATGATGTCAGTTTGAAGAGTAAGGTGTAACTGATTTGAGCTATGATTTTTTTTCAATCACTTGCTATACATCTGAGAGCTGAGCAATGAATAAAGATGACAGAAGGAAAAATGGATGCCTTTGAGTTGTGGTGTTGAAGAAGAGTACTGAATGGACTGCCATGGACTGCCAAAAGAATGATCTTGGTGGGAAAAGTGCAGGCAGAGTGAACTTTGGAGGCAGGGAAGGTGAAGTTTTGTCTCTCATACTCTGGACATGTAACTAGGGGAGGCTATTCCTTGGGACATCATGCATGGAAAGGGGGGGAGGTCAGCAGAGAAATTGATATAGTGACTGCAGCAATGGGCTCAATTATGTCAGAGATGATGAGGAAAGGACAGGATACAGGTTTGTTGTTCATAGGGTCATACTCAACTTGATGGTACCTAATAAGAATAATATGTGACTTCTATCTTTTCTGGTCTGCTTCTATCATTAAAGTGTTGTTAGAAATTAGAAGAGAATAAATAAGAACAAGTAAAATTGATAAATATCTGATTACTTTCTGTTGGGATCATGGAAGACTTACTGAAAAAGGTTATTTATAAAAATTCCTTATTGAGGCTATGTTATCTTTACAGTTAGGAAAAAAAATCACACTCAAGTCCTTACTTGATTTGTCTCAGATCTATATGAAATAAATGAGTTATAAAATGATGTTGTTGTTGTTGTTGTTGTTATGTGTCATCTAGTCACTTGTGACTCATGGTGACCCTACGTACAACAGCTTTGAACCCTGCTCTATCTTGAGCCAATTTCATTGTCTCCAATACACTTACTCCTATTACCCTGGGCACTGAGCCAATCTATCTTATCTAGTATCTTCTTCTCTCGTGCTGTTCCTCTATGCTTACAAGCATGATGTCTTTCTCTAAGGACGAGTCCCTCCTGGGCTCATGTCTAAAGTATGAGAGACAGAGCTTCAAAATCCTGGATTCCAAGGAGCAACCTGGTCTCACCCTCTCCAGGACAGACCTGTTTGTTCTCTTAGTAGTCTATGGTATGTTCAATATTCTTCTCCAGCACCACAACTCAAAGGCATAAATTCTTGTATCATCGTTAGTTCATTGTCCAGCTCTTTGATGCAGAATTGTGAAGACCATGGCCTAGATCATGCACACCTTAGTATATAGACTGACATTATTGCTGGTAAGCACTTTGGATAGGTCCCTGATAACAGGTTTTCTCAGTGCAATTTGTCTTTTGATTTCTTGGCTGTCGGTACCAAGAGTGTAGGTTGTACAGCCAAGCAAGATGAATCTGTTAACAATCTCAATCTCTTCTTCATCTATCATGATGTTGGTAATTGGCCCACTGGTGAGAATCTTTGTTTTTTTATGTTAAGATTTAATTCATATTGAAGACTACAGTCCTTGACCTTCTGCAGCAAATGCCTCAGGTCCTCCTCAGTTTCAGCAAGCAAGTTTATGTCATCTGCATAATGCAGGCTGTTGATGAGTCTTCCTCCAATCATGATGCCACATTCTTCTCTATAAAGTCCAGCCTCTCAGAGAATCTGTTATGCATATTGCTTAATAAGATATAGAGATAGGAGGCATTCCTGGTGTATACCTTTCTTGATTTTGAACCATGGGGTGTTTCTTTGCTCTATTCTGACAACTGCCTCCACAATCAAGTGTTCTGGGATTCCCATTCCTCTCAAGGTTAGCCATATCTTGTTGTGATTCACATGATCAAATGTCTTTTATAATGTCCTTAGTGGCATAGCCTCTTCTAAACTCACCCTTCACATCTGGCAGTTCTCCATTGATGTGCTGTTCCAGTAGTTTTTGGATAAGCTTCAGCATGGTCTAGCTTGCATGTGATATCAACGATATTGCTCAATAATCTACACTCTGTTGAGTCATCTTTTTTTTTTTTATGGGAATAAACAAGGATCTCTTCCAGTCAGTTGGTCAGGTAGTTGTCTTCCACTCCTCTTGGCACAATGTGTGAGCGTGTGCAGGCCAGCATCAGTTTGTTGAAATATGTCAGTTGGCATGCCATCAATTCTTGGGGCCTTCTTCCCTGCCCAGTTCCTTCAGAACAACTTCATCACCATTGACTCTTGATCATATATTGTTTCATGAAATTCTTCTGTGTCAGCTAATTCTTTTTATAGTAACTCTTTGTACCCCTTCTATCTTCTTTTGATGCCTTAGGGGTCATTCAACATTATTTTCACAACATCCTTGAGTATTGCAGCTTGAGGCTTGAATTTGTTCTTCAGTTCCTTCAGCTTAAGAAATGCTGAGCAAAATTCATCCCTTTGATTTTCCAACTCCAGCTCTTTCTGTATATCATGATGACACTTTGCTTTGTCTTCTTGTAGTATCCTTTGAAATCTCTTGTTCAGCTCCCTAACTTCTTTATTTCTTCCCTTTGCTTTGGCTTCACAGTATTTCAAGTGCTATGTTCAGAGTCTCTTCTGACAGCCATCTTGGTCTTTTCCTCATTCTCTGTCTTTGTAATTACCTTTTGCATTCTTCCTGGATGATATTTTTGAGATCCTGCCACAGCTCATATTGTCTTCATTCTAGTTTTCCACCCCTCAAACCAGTTTCTGAGTTAGTGTTTAAAATCAGAAGGGATAGGCTCAAGGTCAAATTTTGATTCTTGTGGATTTAATTTGCTTTTCTTAGCTTTAGTTTGAACTTGCATATGAGTATTAAATGATATATTCCATAATCAGCACCTGGCCCAGTTTTCACAGCTGATCTTGAACTTCTCCAATGATTTTTCCCACAGCTATAATCAATTTGTGTGACTTTCATAGAGAGGACATAAGTCTTTATGTGTCTAATGAAAGTAAGTAAGGAAGAAGGGTCAATGAAGACAAATATCTTGATCAAGGCTAGAAAAGGGCATCATCTTGACTAGGACACAGGTCTTTGAGGTCTCTATTCCCCAACCTGGTTATCATTAACAACATACTGCTATTGGGCTCTTGAAATGTGGCAAGGCCAAATTATGATGTGCTGGATATATAATAAACACTCAGTCTAAGATTCCAGCCCAACAGCTCAACTTATTGTCATAGAGTAGAAATCAATATATAGATGACCCTCCAGTGAGTTTTCAGAGACTGTAAATTACACAGGAGGATATTGCCTACGGTTTTCCCATGGAGCAGCTGGTAATTTTGAACTGTTTATCTTTGAGTCAACAGTAGAATTCTTTACCTATTAAACCACCAGTTCTCTCTAGCCTAAGATCTAGTAATTTTTTAAAAAGTGAACTACCTTATTAACAATTGTTAGAAGAGATTGAGGTTGTTAACAATTTCAGCATGCTTGGGTCCACAACCAACAATTTTGGTACTACCAGTCAGGAAATCAAAAGATGAATTAATTGCATTGGGAAAAGTCTGCTGTTAGCAACTTCTCCAGAGTGACATAGTTACTGGGGTAACAAGGGTAGGTGTGTCAAGAGACAGTGATATTGGTTCAGGATAAGCAGAGTTTAGAGCTATTATACATAGGGTTGCTAGGAGTTGTAGTCAACTTGACAGCAAATAACAACAACAACAACATATTGATCAAATGTAGAAAAGATCTTTTGCTGTTGTTATTGGTGCATTGAGTTGATTCTGACTCATAGCAACGTTGTAGGGCAGAGTAGAATGGCCCTATATGGTTTTCAAGGCTGTAAATATTTACTGAAGCAGACTTCCTTCTCCTTTGAAGAGTGGTAGGTAGATTCCAATATCTCAATTTTTTTTTGGTTAGCAATAGAATGCTTAATAATAATTGTACTACTAGAACTCGTTTTCTTCCAAAACCAGACAAAATCCACTATTATGAAATCAGTTCCAACTAATGATGTTTATATGTACAACTGAGACAGAACCAATTTATAGTTGATCCTACAGAGGATTTTCAGAGGTAATAAAATCTCATGGGATGAGATTGCCCATATTATTAAATTCATGCCATTTGAAGAAATTTTAAAATGTGGCTCATAGAAAATACTAATTTACATCATTTCAAGTCAAGTACACCAATAGCTGTAGAATTTGAACTGGGCCTTAGACCAAATGGAGTGTAGGGAAACTGAGAAAACAAGTATATGGATAATGAATGGTGTTCTCTAGCAAAATAAAGATAGATTTCTAGTGGGAAATAAGGCAGGAAAAGTGGTTGATTGTCACACATGAAATATTGGTCATAATGTAGTGGAATGGGTGCAACATTCTGAAGTTTCTGACTAGCTTGTGCGAATTTAGATGGCTTCTGTAAACTCTATGTCTTCCTCTTTCTTGTTTTTATCCCTTTGTAAAAATCAGGGATTAAGCTAGAAAACTTTTAAGGTCCTTCTCTTTCACCTTCTACCCACTTGTAATGTTGACAGGGACCAGGTTTTGCATGAAGAGTGTAGGGGACTTCACACAGGTACTTGTGACTAAAGGCCCCTAGAGCCAAAGCTGTGTTTGAGGGAAGTTAACTCAGCCCCAGGGAGTAGAGTGACAGAGAGGAATGAGCCTGAGAAGAGGAATACCAGACAGGAGTATAATGAACTGAAACCATGACTGAAAATAAAATCTACTTGTCTGCTTACCAAGAGGGCAAAGTGAAGTACTACCCATACAACACCAAGTGACGTCACCAGAAGATCATATCGATTTCTTCTGCTTTGCCAAAACCCAGCGGGGGACATGGCTATGATCTTCATTGTCACCTGGAAAGGGTCCGGGGATAAGTGATTAGATAAGTGATTAGAGGCTAAATGTTATGTGTACTAAAATTTAGTAACTTGCAGTATATTATAAGAATGAGAAAGCCAAAATTACCAAGATAATACAAGTTTTGTTTTGTTTTTTAAGCTAAGTAGATTAAATCTATATTCCTTACCCTCTTTCCTCCTTGTTTTATGATTAGTCCTGATAGCAAAACATTTTTCTTCCTCAAGTAAGAAACGATAGATTTTGAGGAACATCAATCAGTACAGGGTGAATATAAAAATCTATTTGCATTTCAAAGAAGATTACATTGGGAAGAAATATTATATGATCCATATGTTAAAGTAATCTTAGCTGAGGAAAGTGCTGACATCCCCAAGCCAGCCTACTTTGCCATCACATTGCAATTTGAGTTCCTGAATTACAGTGACTTGCACAGTTCACTTTAAATTTTTGAACTCACACAACTAGACAGGCCAATGTTCAGGCATAATAAGCAACAGTACCATTTCAGCAGTTGGGAAGACCTGAATTATAAAGTGAACTTTTGGTTCAAATTAAGGAAAACATCCTGAAAAGGAAATGTCCACAGAACATGCAGGCCCAAAGAAAAAAGGCTTCAAAGGCGATAGAACACAGAGCCGAAAGTAAGTGCCATCAAAGGAGGACACCGTTTTACTGTGAAATGGTGCACAGCATCCCCGAGAGCCGGCAGACTCATTGCTGTACCTCCAGAACAAAGATGAAGGTAAAAACCACCGACATTGTTGCCAAAGGAACCGTCACAGGGTCCTCCACGTCCCACTGCAACAGAAAACAAGACACAGGGTTTTGCTGGCATCCATCAAACACACACAGAATTTTCTCCGCATTTTCTTACTTGAACAAGGCTGAGAGCTTTAATTTTTCTATTGAGTTACATAGACTGTAAATGAACATGGCAGTTTGCAATATTCTTTACTGTACCAGTGAATAAAAAAATTCCTTCCCAGAGCCTTAGGATGAAACAAAGTACCTTGACAGACAGCAACACTGACTGGGCCAGAACAAGTAATGCAATTGTCCTCTTGAAAAATGGGTGCTGGGTTATATCATACATTTTAGCTCTGAAACCATCATTATCTGTAAAAGCAAAGTTTTAGGCAGGGATGTTTGAGACATAGGTCACATTTACTTTCTTGTCTTTCATTTTAAAACTTATTACATTTCCCCATACACCCCAACACATTCAATCTATTGGGATGTGTTTTGCAAAAATGGCTGGCTCTGAATATTTAACACAGTGCATAATGCTGATTGTATTAGAAAGAGAACCGCATCATTTAATTTCTGTCAGTTTAATACACTTCACTCGTATTTTTAAAAGGCAAGCACAAATATATTTTATTTAAAAATTCATTTCTTTTTTCATTAAGGCTTATCCAGAGAGCACTGGAGCACAGCCTTTGGGTGACTGGTTTTAATAGCCTTATGGAGAGGCCTGTAGTTTGCAGCCTGTTTCTGTATTAACTTATGCACAACCTCCTAGTGGTCTCACGATTATTATTTTAATTTAAATCTTAGACTCCTGGGGAATCATGAACCCTAGTGCCCAACATGAATAAAATCAGAACATCTTTGATACCCGGGCGAGGTGGGAGATGAAGAGGTTGTGCAATCTTCAGTCTACTCTTCAGATCTTCCCATCTTCTCTGATCTACAGTCAGCAAAGCCGTCCCCTTAATAAACAAAAGACAGCAGAAAAAGGCCTTTTGTCAGTCCTCGATGCCAAGATCCTTCCAAACGGGGTGGTGAGACAAACAGGACTAATTTGGGCTTTAAAAAGAAAGGGAGTCTACAGATAAGGTGTTTAGATAAACATGGTCAGAATTCTTAGATCTGATATTGAGAGGAGTTCTGAGAATATTTTCAGAGAGGTTCCAGCAGTCTTCCATTTTATGTCTTTGTGGAGGTATAATCATCAGGTCTGGAGAAATGTAAAAGAAAAGAAGTTTTCCTATATGATTAAATTTTCAAAAAGAGATACCAACTCTAACAGTGGTTAGTTTCATTCATTTTTATAATGGAAAATGCTGCCGCAAAATTATAGCTTGTCAATGCTGTATCTAGTTAGGGGTGTTTTATATTTCTTTTTAAGAAAATCATTCTAATATGTGCAATGGCAAAATTATTTTTAAGTGGCACGAAGCTAGAGAATTCATATCTTGAAAACATTAATGATATAATAACGGCCAAAAATGTAAGGCACTCGACAGTAGAGTACTTGATTGAGTAAAATATAATGTATAATGTTATGTTACATCATATAACACCAATACAAGTAAATTTTAGAAAGTGGAAAGGTTTTTCAGCCTCAATAACTTTTTAAAGAAGTGAAGGTCTTCTATTAGCTTTTTCAAATTCAATGGGAAAATTAATCCTGATTTTTGTCACTTTTAAAAAGCATAACAAAAACCAGTGTTTTATCCTACTACAAAAATAATGAGTTCATTATACACAATTTTGAAAATGGTGATGAGTAGGACAAATTAAAAATCCTAAATAATTTGCCAAGCTTAAGTGGCAAGAAACTAAGTAACCCTGGAACATGGTTCAAGGCCACCAGCTGCTCCCCTGGAGAAGGATGGGCAATCTCCTCCTGTGTGATTAACAGCCTCTGAAAACCCACCAGACGGTCAACTGTAGGTCAGTTCTGACTCTAGGATACACAACAACAACAAATCATTTATAAACCTCCTTCTAAGGTTAAATGTTGATATCTAGCTTTCTGACTTTTATTTTTTTCCTTTTCTGGCCTTTTTATCATACACATAAATAGAAGTCATCTTGTGCCTGCTTCTTATAACATATTGTTGTTGTTGTGTACCAGAGTCGGAACCAACCCACAGCTGATCCTCCAGTGAGTTTTCAGAGGCAATTAATTGCACAAGAGTGGACTATTTTCCCCATTTAAAATCTCTAATATTTTTCTATATATGACTTTAAAATATACTTAAACATTAATTTTTATGATTAGAGATTTGATGCTATTTGAACAGTTAGATTGTTTTTATACTCTGTTGTTAAAGATTATGCTACAATAAATAAGCTTGATTTTCACACCTGCATAATTATTCTTGTTAGCAGCACTGGGCACCAGAATGCATCTGGTTATGTTCCCACAGAAGTGGGTAAACAAGCCTCTTTATCTGCTGCCCTGAGTGCTATTATCTTTAAAGTATCTTTGATAAGGTGGCAAATGTGCATTGTCATTACACAATTGCTTTCACCCCACCCCTTGATCTATTAGGAAAGTCTGTTTAAACAATTTAGAATTGGTCAGTATGCAAAAAGGATGAATTGTTAAAAATTCAATAGTATTTATGCTGTAACTGCAGTGTATGGAACACTGCAGCATTCTTGACAATGATGTTGAACCAACATTATATAATATTATCAACAAACCTTTATAAAAAGTATCCTGCTGTTGGTTTTCTGGGTAGTTGGAGAAGGTTATTGGGCTAACCTGGTGGTGTACCTTAACACACTGGGTTGCTAACCAAAAGGTGAATGGTTCAAATTCACCAACCATCTCACAGGATAATGATGGACAGTTTCTTAGAAACCTGATGAAGGCTTGCTTTGAATCAGAATTGGCTTGACAGCCTAGTTTAGTTTTTGGGTTGTGTTTTGTTTGTTGGTTTGTTTTTTGTTTGTTTGTTTTTTGTTTTTCAGTATAGGGATACAGAGCTATAGGAATCCCTGGGTGGTATAAGTTGTTAACACATTCAGCTACTAACAGAAAGTTTGGAAGTTTGAATCTACTTCAAAGGTGCCTTGAGCAAAAGGTCTGATGATCTCTGAATTCTGAAAATTCAGTCATTGAAAAAACCCCATGGTGGTATGGTCTACTCTGATACACAGGAGTCACCATGAATCAAAATCCACCTGGGGACAATTGCTGCTGCTATTAGTGCTACAGGATCTCTGGAAATTACCGAGACTATGCACTGCTTAGAAATCCTAAAGCCAGGGAGTATTCTTTTGTTTTGCTGTTTTGAATGATTAGTAGAATTACAGAAATAAGAGCAAACATAGTATCTTGTAGGATCAATTCTCATCTGGTGAATTTTTAAAAAATACCTATGCCTGTCATTCAATCCAGACCAAAATTCAGAGTTTGTGAGCAAGGGCCAAGGGAATAAACATTTTTTAAAAAAATTATGGGTTTGGTGCAAAGGTACGTAGAAAAACTGGTTTCCATTTGAAGTTTTTACACATAGTGTTCAGTGACATCATTCACATTTGTAGCACTGTGTCAACCACTGTTATTATTTCTAGTTTAGTTGCTCCATTTTTTAACAGTTGTCTGATGATTTTATAAAAAGTAGTCATGGTATGGCATTGCTACTTTAGAAGTTAGAAAATATACATACTCAATGATATATAAGGCAAGATATTTAAATTTTTGAAGCATATTGACTTGACACATAACAACAACACAATTCTCTCATCACTGTTGAGTCAAGTGTGACTTACAGCTGACCCACCACTGGTTTTCTGAGGCTAAATCACATGAGAGGAGACAGCTCATCTTTTTCTGCTGGAGGGGATCTTGGATGGGAGCAACCAGGGAGGCACAAACTTTGGGTGAACAGCACAATACCTTCATGGACTATGCCACCAGAGCCAGGATGGCTAATATACTTAACATTAAAAAAACACCCCCCCCAAAATCTAAGAGAAGAAATAGAGACATGTATTCACCCCATCTCTGTTACATGTCCCAGCCACTAAATTGGCCAGTTCCTTACCTCTCCTCACCTTGCAACAATCCATTCTCTATACCGTAGTGAAAACAACCTGACTATGCTTTTTAGACTTGTAGGGCTTCCTTTGGGTGTGGAATAAAAACTAAACTTTGACCCACTGCATCCAATATGACCTACGCTCGGCCTAACTCTCTGACTTCACAAAATCATCGAACATAATAATATAATACCTCCAAACTGTCCACTCAGATTTAACAAATGCTAACAAGATAAATATCTGTTGACATCAGAACCTTGTCTGAAAGTGGAGAATAGTATTAAGATCTTTCCTTGTGTTTTACTGATTATGTAAAATGACTACGTGGATTGTAAAAAATGGTGGCTAACACTGTGAAGAATGAGGATCCCAGGACACTTAATTGTGTGAATGTAAAATTGATACACAGAAAAAGATGCAGTTGTCCTAACAGAACAAAAATGCTGTGTGCTCTAAATTCAGGAAAGACATGCAACAGGGCTCTATCCTTTCTCTATATGTATTAAATATCTTGGCTAAGCAAATCATTTGAGAAACTGGACTCTATTAAGAAGAATATGGTATCAGAATTGGAGGAAGACTCATCAACAGCTTGTCTTAGAGGATTTCATCTTTATTTCAGAAAGTTAAGACTTGAAGCACTTACTGCAGAAAATCAAAGACTGCATACAGACTTTAAAATGGGTTACATCTTAACATCAAGAAAACAAAATTCCTTATGTTATTGATAAGTAACACCATGGTAGATGTAGACAAGATGTAAATTGTCAATGATGTACAATCATTGTTGATCCACAATCAACACCCATGTTAACAGCTATCAGAAAAGCAAAAGATATGTTGCATTGGGAAAATCTGCTGTCAAGGGCTTCTACAAAGTACTGAAGAGCAAAGATAGCAATTTAAAAACTAAGGTATGCCTAATCTATGACATGATGTTTTCAATTGCTTCCTCTGCATCTGAAAGTTGGACAATGAAGAAAACTAAAGAAGAATTAATGACTTATAATTATGGTATTGTACTGAATTTCTCATTGACTGCTGTAAGAACAAATAAACCTGTCTTGAATGAAGTACAGCACAGTGCTTCTTAGAGGCAATGATGATGAAAGTTCATCTCATATACTTTAGGCACATTTTCAGGAGGCATAAGACCTTAGAAAAAGAAATCACACTGGGAAAGGAAAATGAAAGAGAGGAAAATCCTCAAAAAGATAGACTGACACAGTGTCTACAACAATGGTCTTGAGTAGGGCACAGATTGTAAGGATGGTCCAGGTCAAGGTTCAGATCTTTTATTCATAGGGTCACTATAAGTAGTAATTGACTCAATAGCTCCTAATAAAAACCAATACAAGCTTTCCCTTTGGTGACATTGTGGCAAAAAGCATGAGTGTAACTGAAATGACTGTAGTTTGAAACCCCTGGCCACTACAAGAAAGTTGACTTTCATAAAGATTTATAACCTCAGAAAGCCTATACTATCTATTCTGTCCTCACTATGATCTACATGGTTGGTTCAAGTCTGAACTGACTTAGTGGCAGAAAGCTGGTTGTATTATTATTATTATTATTATTATTATTCATTATTGTTATTAATTATTATTACTATTTCCACATATTTGTTTCAACTCTTTTTTTTAAAATAAAAATTTAAAGATACATTTACAACGATGTATCTCTATCCCAAATCCAACACTATTTTCTTCCCCAAAGCTAATTATTAACCTTCAAAGGTGCATCTTCTCCACCAATATTGTCAGGCTCTTGATACTTATTTATAAGAATGTATTTATTGTGCATTTTAAAAACCTGTGGGCTATCCAATATAGATTAAATAGTGCAATTTTTAAATAATTGAACAACATAATTTTAACTATTAAATATAATTTGCTTATTTTAACAGCCAGCATAGTCTAGTTCACACAGA